GTCATCTCAAAGTACTTTTGAAACACTGCTTTTGTGTAGAGTTTTTTGAAGTTAGAAATGATCTGCTGGTCCATGGGCCGGATGAGAGGAGTGGTGTTAGGAGGCAAGAGCTTCAGTTATAAAACTGAAATCACTAGACAACTGGTCTACCAAGTTTGGAGGATGAGCAGGAGCACTGTTCATTACTAGGAAGCACTTGAGTGGCAATTTCTTTTCCAGGAGGTATTTTTTCACACTCATGCCAAACACTTCATGGTCCTAGTCAATGAAAAGTTGCCTCGTGACCTATGCTTTATGATTAGCTTTCCACATCACACACAATTTACTCTTGACGACATTGTTTTTCTTGAACACTCTGGGATTTTCAGAGTGATACACAATTAACCCTTTGAGGGTCGACAGGCCCTCTCCGAAACTCGTTCTCAGGGTCGGCCAAATTTAAAAAAAAAAAAAATTATTTTCTCTTATGAAAAGATAGAGAATCTTTTCCCGATCATAAAGACACCAAAAGTTTGAAATTTGATAGAAAACTTACGGAATTATGCTCTCGCAAAGTTAGCGGTCTCGGCGATGTTTACGCATCGGCGATTTTGCCCACTTTGAGCCCCATTTTCGGCCAATTTCACTGTACTAGTCGACAAAAAACATGAATATTTCGCTAGAACTCCATTTTTTCTATCGAATGGGTGCAAGAAACCACCCATTTATAAATTCAACTATCCAGTACAGTGGTCTGAATTTAGCAATTTTGCCAATTTCACACAAATTTCAAAAGATGCCAATTTCCGAATAGGGTCCAGAATAAACAAGAAAGACATTCCTGGCATTTAAAATGACATTTCCTTTTAGTCATTAGTCACGTCTCAAGGCCCCTCTTATATTCTTTTGCTTTCCACTTTGAATTTTTATTTTCACAAAAAATATAAGATTTACTGTTATGCAGACTAACTGCATTAGTGTAAAAATGGTATAAATATTATTGGTGACTTGTAAAAGAATATTAGACTCACCAGTTGACGTGTATTGCACGCTTGGCACGATTTGTTTACTTTTGAAGTTTGGTAAAAATCGAACATTTCTGCTACTTTGAGCTCAATTTCAAGGCACCTTTCATTGTAAAACCAGTCAAAATCATCTCAATTTCTGTAATATGTCTTCCATTCTATAAAAAGAGACCAAGAAAACTAGAATACAACAATAAATACCATACGAAAATACACTGCAAAGTCGCTGATTTATTAAAAAAAATGGTCAAAGTTTTTTTTTTTCTCATTATGCATGTGTGCTGCAGGATTTTTTTTAGACTGTGCACACTGACCACATAGACCCATTCTTTCATATGAAGGCCTACCAGCTTTCTCCCACTAGATTTGAGGCCACTAGAATTTATGAGTACTAGTACGTCAAAAACCCCTACGCGTAAAACGTACTAGTACGACCAAAACCCTCAAAGGGTTAAAGGCTTCACTTTGAAATCCCCACAAGCATTAGCACAGAACAAAAGAGTTAGCCTGTCTTTCATATTCTTGTGTCCTGGCAGTGCCTCTTCCTACTATGTGATGTAAGTCTGCTTGGGCATTTTCTTTCAAAAGAGGCCTGTTTCATCACAACTGAACACTTGTTGGGGTTAGAATTCTTCAGTCTGTATGTACCCCTTGAATTCCTGCACAAATTTTTCAGCCGCATGTTTGTCAGAATTTACAGCTTCACCATGCCTTACAACACTGTGTATGCCACTATGCATCTTAAATCTCTCAAACCAGCCTCTGCTGACCTTAAATTCACTAACATCATCACTAGTACCAGGCATTTTCTTTACGAGATCCGCATGCAACTGCCTTGCCTTTTCACAAATGATCGTATCTGAAACACTATCTCCTGCTAATTGTTTTTCCCTGATCCACAACAACAACTTCTCCACATCTTCATTAGTTTGTGATCTCTTTTTCATTAACAGGTTTACCCCTTTCACCACATCAGCTTCCTTGATTTGTTCTTTCTTTGCCAGGATAAAAGTGATTGTTGATTTGTTTTTGCCATACATCCTGGCAAGTTCCAGCACCCACACACCACTCATATTTTTCTATTACACTGTACTTCCTTCGAAAATTTCATTGTGTTTCTCACTTTCTTTACCAAAGGAACTTTACTAGGAACTTTCTTGATGCCCATGGTGACATATTTCGCAGTAGCACTTAATAAAAACCATGAAAAATAATGGATTTTAAGGAAATGTTTGGATGAATGCGCTAAGTATATGCTTGCTTGCCAACAGACAAAGGAAGACTGATTCAACAAAGCCCAGCATCCCGGTGGGAGAGGTGGGCTAACGCGTCTAATACGGCCGATATACGAGGCAACGGCCACAATACGGAGCAAAATTTCCACCGAAAAACTGGCCTAAAAACAAATCGGCTGATAAACAAAGTGGCCGAAAAACGAAGTTTCACAATACAGTGGACCCCCGCATACCGGACGCCTTGCATAACGGACAATCCGCATACCAGACGCTTTGATCGCTAAAATTTTGCCTCGCATACCGCCCAAAAACCCGCTCAGCGCCCTTCGTCCGAAACGCGTCCAATGTGCGGCCTGAGCCACGCTCACATGTTCCGCCGGTGGCATTGTTTACCAGCCAGCCTCCGCGGTAACATCCAAGCATACAATCGGAACATTTCGTATTATTACAATGTTTTTGGTGAATTTTTTTCTGGAAAATAAGTGACCATGGGCCCCAAGAAAGCTTCTAGTGCCAACCTACAGCATAAGGGTGAGAATTACTATGGAGATGAAGAAAAAGATCATTGTAAGTATGAAAGTGGAGTGCGTGTCTCCGAGCTGGCCAGGTTTGTATAATAAACCCCAATCAACCATCGTACTATTGGTGGTACAGCTGCTGCTGCTGCTGTACCACCGTCAGCTGCTGCTGCACTGTCAGCTGCTGCTGCTGTACCACCGTCAGCTGCTCCTGCTGCTGTAGTACCGTCTGCTGCTGCTGTAGCATCGTCTGCTGCTGCTGTAGCATCGTCTGCTGCTGCTGTAGCATCGTCTGCTGCTGCTGTAGCATCGTCTGCTGCTGCTGTAGCATCGTCTGTTGCTGCTGTAGCATCGTCTGTTGCTGCTGTACCACCGTCAGCTGCTGCTGCTGCTGTAGCATCGTCTGCTGCTGCTGTAGCATCGTCTGCTGCTGCTGCTGCTGTAGCATCGTCTGCTGCTGCTGTAACATCGTCAGTTGCTGCTGTAGCATCGTCTGCTGCTGCTGTAGCATCGTCTGTTGCTGCTGTAGCATCGTCTGCTGCTGCTGTAGCATCGTCTGTTGCTGCTGTACCACCGTCAGCTGCTGCTGCTGCTGTAGCATCGTCTGCTGCTGCTGTAACATCGTCAGTTGCTGCTGTAGCATCGTCTGCTGCTGCTGTAGCATCGTCTGTTGCTGCTGTACCACCGTCTGCTGCTGCTGCTGTAGCATCGTCTGCTGCTGCTGTAACATCGTCAGTTGCTGCTGTAGCATCGTCTGCTGCTGCTGTAGCATCGTCTGTTGCTGCTGTACCACCGTCAGCTGCTGCTGCTGCTGCTGTAGCACCGTTGTTGGTGTGGCTTATTGAGAATACCAAGAAACAATTAACCCCAGAGAATTTGCCACCCAGGATAGCCCAAAAAAGTCAGTGTCATCGAAGACTGTCTAACTTATTTCCATTGGGGTCCTTAATCTTGTCTCCCAGGATGCAACCCACACCAGTCGACTAACACCCAGGTGAACAGGGAAAATGCCTGGAACTAGTGCTCATATTGGTGAATTTAGAGCCAGCAAAGGTTGGTTTGAGAGATTTAAGAATTGTAGTGACATACAGTGTGATAAGGCCTGTTCTGGAAGAAAATACCAAACAGGACCTACAGTACTCAGGAGGAAAAGGCACTCCCAGGACACAGTGTCTCATCAGTCATTGCTGCATCTTCAATAAAGGTAAGTGTCATTTATTCTTCATTTAGTAGAGTAGTACATGCACAATATATACTGTGCATGTACTACTCTACTATTGTGCATGTATCCTTCTCTTTGTGTGTAGGAAAATGTATATTTCATGTGGTAAAAATTTTTTTTTCATACTTTTGGGTGTCTTGCACGGATTAATTTGATTTCCATTATTTCTTATGGGGAAAATTCATTCGCATACCGAACATTTCGCATAACAGCCAGCCCTCTTGCACGGATTAAGGTCGCTATGCGGGGGTCCACTGTATTATCAAATTTCTTGTTATTCATTTATATACCGCATTTTTACAGTACAGTAAACCATTAAATATAATGGATTAATGGTTGGATTGTCTGAGTTAAATCAGAATAATGTTAAAAAAAGCAGAAAGAGCAAGAAAGCATACTTGTAGTAATGAACACACAAGTTAGATACAGTGCAACAAGCATTGAAAATCAAGAAATTAAATAGTACAATTTACCTAGCACATCCTGTCCATTATATCAAGGTCCATGATATCAAGGTAAGTTATATGGAATATAACTACCATTACTTCTGAGACTCTACCACATTATTTGGTGTTAATATGTTATGCCTGTTTCAATTTTATTTTATATTAACTTTACATGAGAGTACGCCATATAATACAGTATAAAAATCAATGTTGGATGTAAGAGAACAGGCAGCCTACATAAGCAACCAGCTTTGTGCAGAGTACCTTCTATGTTCAATGTAACACTGATGACAAAATGAGTTCTTATATAACATTTACTCCATACATAATGTATGTAAACAAGACACAGTGAGGTTTCATGGTGTATTATTGTGAACTTTATCAATTCACTAAGTCGATGGTGGGCAAAACTTTGTCACAATAAAATGCCACAACCTGCAATGTGTGCCTTATTTACACAGCTGGTATACTCCAATGTATTTCCATACACGGTGATTCAACTCGTGAATAATTCTACTATTATATCAGATTTTCATTACAAGAGCATTTAATGCCAACACAGAATAAAAGGATACGGGGTGACTTTGCTCCCCTTTACTCTCTGATTAACAAATTCTGCAGCGACCACAGCCTTGGAACGACCTATATCTTTCTTGCGAAACAAGAACTGTCGATTCAGATTGGAGAGATCAATTGTATCCATGTCAATAACATGAAGATTAGTGAAGCCCATTAGACTGAGATCCTTCAGTAACTCACATCCAAGTCCTCCAGCTCCTGTAATCAATCAATCAATCAATCAATCAAGTTTATTCTCTATAAGGATTACAATGCAGGGTTCACAGATTTTGGATATTGTATGGTTTACATGTTTTAAAATACTAATTACAGAGGGGGCCTTTAGGACACCTAGCATGGCTAGGCATTTTGGGCAGACTTAGATTAATTCTTAACTTTAAATTATTACAGATTATGGAGTAAGTTGGTATTAAAGCTAAGTGGCTACATTATAGTTTGTGAGTTTAGCAATGTGAATGCTTTTGTTTTGGCACAATACATATTGGCATCACAGTATCATAGGCAAACTTATGACTAGTTAGGATTCATTATTTTAAGATTAAGATTCGTATTTCTGTGTTTATAGTCAATGGGTGAGTGAGTGTAAGTGTGAACCACCAGGTGGTTTTTATGTAGTTAGTTGCCGGGGTGTATCAGGGAGATAAGATGTTTTCTAACTGTACATAGTTTTGAAAGTGATGAATGTGTCTGCAGTTCTAGAGTTTTCAGGTAGGGTGTTCCAGATTTTAGGCCCTTTGACACACATGGAATTTTTGTAAAGGTTTAGTTGGACACAGGGAATGTCATAGAGATGTTTGTGTCTGGTGTTTTGCCTGTGGGTCCTGTCACAACTGTCAAGAAAGCATTTTAGGTCAAAGTTAATATTGGAATTTAAGGTCCTGTAGATATAGATTGCACAGTAGTAAGTGTGGATGTTCTGAACAGGTAGTAAGTTTAGATCTATGAAGAGTGAGGGGGTGTGTTGGCAGGGATGGGATTTAGTGATTATTCTTACTGCGGCTTTTTGTTGGGTTATTACTGGCTTTAGGTGTGTTGCTGTAGTTAATTTCCAAGCACAAATAGCATAGGTGAGGTATGGATAAATGAGTGAATGGTATAGTGTGAGAAGGGCACTTTGCGGCACGTAATATCGTATCTTGAAGAGGATGTAAAAAACAATATATTACAGCCTTTCCTCACTTAACAACGGTGTCCCATTCCTAAGACCACATTGGTAAATGAATTTGTCGCTAATGGTACAGTGGTACCTTGACTTACAAGTTTAATTCGTTCCGTGACCAAGCTCATAACTCAATTTGCTCATATATCAAATCGACTTTCCTCATTGAAATTATCTGAAATGCCATTAATTCATTCCAGCCCCCAAAAAACCACCCCAATTTTTTTTGTTATCTGTTTTTAAATAAGAAAAATGTATTTATAAATAAGAAAGATTGTATAAAAACATAATAAAAGAGAATGTAAAGAAATAAACTGGTTTTATAAAGTGTATTTACCTTGGAGATCAGACGACTTGGGCTAATGGAAGATGCTGGCGGAGGTGGAGGCTGGTCAATTTCGTTCATCATAAACTCTATCGCTTAATCATTCAACTTACTTACTGCTGGTGCTGCTGCTGCTGCTGCTGCTGCTACTACTATTCCTCGTCCTCCACCACCACCGCCACCACCACCGCCAGCAGCAGCAGCTTGTACTGCCTCGCCAAGTCGACTACACACACACCTCGCTCGTGTTTTTCTATGATTTCATGCTTTATTTCAATGAACATCATCCTTTTCTTCTCAACACTGTCCTTTGCACTTACTTTCTTAGGGCCCATGGTTAGAAAAAAGAAATTTGACAAAAATAACTGTGCACTGAACTAGCAAGGCGGGATGCTGGGCAGATGTTGTGGCGTTCACTGTGCTAACTAGTGGCGGCGTATCCGAAACTCGCTCATAACTCAGATTTTGGCTTGCAACTCAAAGCAAAAAATCGACCAAGCGACGGCTCGTAACTCATAAGTTGGGGCACTTGTAAGTCAAGGTACCACTGTAGTGGGTTTGTATCAACCATCTTTGATATTGTTTTAAGTCACTTTTGCACCATTTCTATAACATTTCTGGTATATTTTTAAAAGTTTCTACAGTAGTGTACTGTATATTGTAATATACAGAATAGAGGAAATTATCTCTAATATATAATTATTTAGGTATGCATACTGGTCAGAGAACCCGTCGTATGTCTGAGTCGTCGACAAATGAGTACGTCGCTAAGTGAGGAGAGGCTGTACTTCACAGATCATCATCATCGACAATGTTAGGCAAGAAAAATTATTATTTTTACGTTAAAAAAATAATTATGGCTTTTTTGGAGGTTTGAAGAACACTGCCCTATTTTTCCCCTATGTTTTTCAGTCCATAAATCATGAAAACCATTAGCAGTGCAGTTTGTAGGAACATAACCCACAAATTATGACCATCCACTGTATACAGTCTTACAAATTTATGTACCATGACCTAACCTAACCTTACCTAATTTTAAAGACAATGGTATTTCTAGAATTACAGAACACATTAAGAAACTGATGCTTCTTGGGAGGTACCATAACACCAGTGAAGATTTCTTGATACACAGAATTGGAGCTTCCCTCCTTTCCCTTAGGTCGAATCTGATTACTTCCCATTCAGTAAAGGAGCTTTACAACCCTTAATGGTTTAGTGCTCTGCTCACCCCCAATGAAAAACTAATGAAAAATAAGAACGTAACACTGGGAATAATGTAAGAAAATTAAGATAGCAAAATGTGGATAAATTGTATTGTGCACAGCAGCCAGGGGTTAAAATACAGTGTTACAAATATACACAGTGGCCAGGTGTTAAAATACAGTGTTACAGATATACACAGTGGCCAGGTGTTAAAATACAGTGTTACAAATAACAGGAAGATTATCATTGCAGAATCTGATTATATTTCTTGCCATAAATGTAACCAAATAACTAAACATACCAATGACTAAAACTTTTATGTTTTCCTGTAGCATCTTAAGTGTGTCTGGTGATGGTTCAAAGTCCGGGTGAGTGAAAGGTCCAGGCCTTTCCAGCAATTTACGAACTTCACTCCATCTCTCGCCCCAGTCCATCATTGTTGTATCTGCAATAAAATGAACTAAATATTGAATGCTAAAATTTTTTAAGCACATACCATATATTTTCTATCAAGACATGGTGACCAAAGCAACAAAAACATTATAATTAAAGAGCAATCATCAGCTGAAATCAGACAATATGTTAGATTTTACAATACAGTACATACAAACTAATTACATCATCGAAAAATTTTATTTCTCCAGCAAATTATTATTTTGGGATATACTAGTTAAATAAGGTAGTAGGTTGGTAGACAGCAACCGCCCAGGGAGGTACTACCGTCCTGCCAAGCGAGTGTAAAACGAAAGCCTGTAATTGTTTTACATGATGGTAGGATTGCTGGTGTCCTTTTATCTGTCTCATGAACATGCAAGATTTCAGGTACGTCTTGCTACTTCTACTTACACTTAGGTCACACTACACATACATGTACAAGCATATATATACACACCCCTCTGGGTTTTCTTCTATTTTCTTTCTAGTTCTTATTCTTGTTTATTTCCTCTTATCTCCATGGGGAAGTGGAACAGAATTCTTCCTCCGTAAGCCATGCGTGTTGTAAGAGGCGACTAAAATGCTGGGAGCAAGGGGCTAGTAACCTCTTCTCCTGTATAAATTACTAAATTTAAAAAGAGAAACTTTTGTTTTTCTTTTTGGGCCACCCTGCCTCGGTGGGATACGGCCAGTTTGTTGAAAGAAGAAAAAAAATACTAGTTAAAAAAATTTTTTTGGGGGGCAGAGTGCCATACAACCAATCAATCTTGGCACTGTACCGGGAAAACACAACGACAAAAACAAAGAGGGATGGCATGTAATTTTACTTGCATCAGTTTATTTTGGCTATTTAGGTAATTTCTTTTGGGTTTTGGGACACATTTCATACCATCTGTGCCCACAGCCTATTCTAATGTAAAACCCACTCAACACGTAAAACTAAACCCCCAAAGCCTTTTTTGTCGCTAAAACGCCCGGGAGAAACTTTTACTTATTCCAAAAAAAAACATTTACCATGACTTACGTAAAAAAAAAGATAGTAAATTTTTTTCGTAAAACCAACAAGTGGAAAGTTTCGGCACTGTACTCACTAGCAACCACCAGGGGGGTACACCCTCCTGCCAATTAGTTGAAAAGAAACCTTTTAATTGTTTTTCACAATAGCAGCATTGCACTCTTTCCCTCATAAACACTTTTGAAAAGTGCCTCCTTTTTAGTTACAATAAGTTGTACATATCATGTATTGTATACAACTCATCCAAGTTTTATTTAATCTCTTTAAAAAGTTTTTTTGCTGTTAAAGCATTTCCTCCAGATCATGGAAAGTATGCAAGAATTCTTCCTTCATAAATACATGTCATAAAAAAAAACCAAAATGCCAGGGAAAAAGAGCAGAAAAAATAAACGAAAAGGGGAAATACTTTTAACCTAAGTAAAAGGGAACCCTCCTTCAGTATTTTTAGTGAAAAATCTGGGCATTCCCTTTGATCCAAGCATGTCAGGAAAATAATAGGGAATTGTTAAAAAAAAATTTGAATGCCAGAAAAAAGTTCCTCTGCAGACAAGCATGGCGTCTCCTCTGAAGCTCCGGACCCTATTCTACTCTCTAAAATGCCATACAGATTATTTTTGGCTCAAAAAGGTACTCTCCCTTTAACAAAAAAAACTAACAACTACAAATCACCCAGAACGAAAAAAGTGAGTTTTCTTTGGACCTGGGTCCAAGAAACATGTAGGCCAAAAAAAATTAAAAAAATTTGGGATAGCTGAATGTTGAGACAGACAAAAACAACTGAATTAAATCACGTTATAAAATTGCTAACAACATTGCCCAAATATCTTGCTGCCAAGCTTGTTAAGGTTAAAAACCCCAACCATAGGTACCAGGGAAGGAAACACAATTTTAGTACCTAGGGTAGGGGTAGGCCAAAAACACCTTTCATTTACAAAAAAAGGGAGGTAACATTCCCAGTCCGTTAGTTTGACCCAGTTCGGGAAAAAGAGCTAAAAGGGTACCTAAAAAATGAAGCTACAAAAAGGAAATAATGAAGCACAGAAAGGCACCTAATAAATGAACACAAAAAGGGACCTAATGAAGAAGCTGCAGAAACCCCCAAAGAAATGAACTACAGAAAGGACCCAAGGGATTAAGCTGCGAAAGGGAGGCATTTCTTGTAGAGTCAACCGGGTGAACTTTTACCGTGTCTGACCCTCCTTAATTTTAAATGAAAATAACTTTTTTACGTATTACTACTGGCTCCTTTTTTGTGTAACTATTTTCACAAATTTAGTTACTTGCCTGTTTTAACTCTTAAATAAGAAAGTTTGTTTTTTTTGGGGGTTACCTGGGTAATCTACACAGGGCTGCTCTGTATGATAACTTATGAAACTTACTTATTTACACGTCCCTAAAATATATTTACGTACTTAGGACATGTGTTTCTACGGTATCTTACAGTGGAAATACGGGAACCTTTTACTCGAACACTCCCTACTTAAACAAAGCTCGGAACTCGCCAAAAAAACACACCTTTGCAGAACTTTCGAACTACAGTGGACCCCCCGATTTCGTCACCCCCCCAATGCGCCAAATTTATGAAAAGTGTTTTATTAAGTGCTTTTTGTACTGTATTTTTTGGGGGTCTGACATGGACAAATCTAATTTCAAAAATTTTCCCTTTGGGAACAAATTTTTCAGTAATGGCACCTGAACAATTTTGGGATAAATAATATGAAAACCCGGGGTCCCTGTATTTCGTGTTTTTTTGTTTTTTTTTGGGTTTTTTTTTTATATTATTTAATAAGTCACCGGGGGCCTAAAAAGAAGTATACAGCCAACCAAACAAAAAATTTGGTTGGAAGAATTCTTTCGATACTCAAAGGATTGGCACTCGAACGGTTTCGGGAAACAAATTAAGTTCAAGTTCTGAGTTCCACTGTGAAAATTTTGACTTTTTTTTGGCTTACCTTAAAAAAAAATGTTTTTTTTCCTTACAAAGCTTACAATGTGATTTTAACATTTTAAAAAATATAATTACAAAAAGCCCTGCACCAGGGCATTTGGCAGATAATTTTGGGGTAATTTACACATGTATGATCATTGTATTTATGTGTACCTGTCCCTAAATACACTAACATTCCCACAGGGTGTTCCGGGGCCGGTAAAAACGCCCGCTTCCAGGCGAGGGTTGAAACTTTTGGGAGTGTTTCCTTATACCATGTCTTGTTCGCCCAAAAAAAATGGGTCCCTGGAAATTTTTCAAAGATGTGGGTTGCTCCGGGACAAACTGACCCAATTTTTCTGAAATGCTCTAATTCCAACCCAACCCTAGTTGATCAGGTCCTGATCCCCATGAGGCCTGGGACGACGGGCCCTGGGGGTGTGACCCCCCAAAAAACCCCCAGGGATACTCCGGTAATTACAAACCCAATATAACAAACGGCTTTTCCCCTTTAAAATGTATGTCATTGATTTAGCTATGGGGGTGTAACCGCACTTACTTTAAAAAAAAGATTTATTTAAATTTTTTTTAAATTAGCAACAAGTAGTCCGGGGGTTAGTCGACTGGGGTGGGTCGCATCATGGGGACAAGACGACACCACAAAAGAAATAAGACAACGGTCCTCCTTTTTGACAAAGTTTCGCCACGCAGGGCTTTATCGAGACAGATCTTTTTTTTTATTTATTATCACACCGGGCCCTTCCCCAAGGCAGGGGGGCCCCAAAAAGAAAAACTTCACCATCATTACCCATCACTGTCTTGCCCAAAGGGGGCTTAATACAGTTTTTAAACTGCAACATTAACACCCCTCCTTCAGAGTGCAGGCACTGTACTTCCCATCTCCAGGACTCAAGTCCGGCCTGCCGGTTTCCTGAATCCCTTCAAAATGTTACTTTGCTCACACTCCAACAGCACGTCAAGTATTAAAAACCATTTGTCTCCATTCACTCCATCAAACACGCTCACGCATGCCTGCTGGAAGTCCAAGCCCCTCGCACACAAAACCTCCTTTACCCCCTCCCTCCAACCCTTCCTAGGCCGACCCCTCCCCCCGCCTTCCTTCCACTACAGACTGATACACTTTTGAAGTCATTCTGTTTCGCTCCATTCTCTCTAAATGTCCGAACCACCTCAACAACCTTCCTCAGCCTCTGGACAACAGTTTTGGTAATCCCGCACCTCCCCCTAACTTCCAAACTACGAATTCTCTGCATTATATTCACACCACACATTGCCCTCAGACATGACATCTCCACTGCCTCCAGCCTTCTCCTCGCTGAAAACATTCATCACCCACGCTTCACACCCAATAAGAGCGTTGGTAAAACTATACTCTCATACATTCCCTCTTTGCTCCAAGGACAAAGTTCTTTGTCTCCACAGACTCCTAAGTGCACCACTCACTCTTTTTCCCTCATCAATTCTATGATTCACCTCATCTTTCATAGACCCATCTGCTGACACGTCCACTCCCAAATATCTGAATACGTTCACCTCCTCCATACTCTCTCCCTCCAATCTGATATTCAATCTTTCATCACCTAATCTTTTTGTTATCCTCATAACCTTACTCTTTCCTGTATTCACCTTTAATTTTCTTCTTTTGCACACCCTACCAAATTCATCCACCAATCTCTGCAACTTCTCTTCAGAATCTCCCAAGAGCACAGTGTCATCAGCAAAGAGCAGCTGTGACAACTCCCACTTTGTGTGTGATTCTTTATCTTTTAACTCCACGCCTCTTGCCAAGACCCTCGCATTTACTTCTCTTACAACCCCATCTATAAATATATTAAACAACCACGGTGACATCACACATCCTTGTCTAAGGCCTACTTTTACTGGGAAAAAATTTCAACAGACTTATCCCCCTATAATTTTTGCACTCTCTTTTATCCCCTTTGCCTTTATACAAAGGAACTATGCATGCTCTCTGCCAATCCCTAGGTACCTTACCCTCTTCCATACATTATTAAATAATTGCACCAACCACTCCAAAACTATATCCCCACCTGCTT